GACACCGCTCCCACCTTAAGACCCTGCCTGTTCTGCCCCCCAACAACCGGTGATTGGGGTCATTCTCTGACACCTTAGTTTTAAACACTGAGAAGTTTCCAGACTGTGATTGAAGAACAGGGCAGTGCCAGGAAACTGAAGGTAGGAGGGGGGAGCCTGGACCAACTGTGTCCCCTCTGACATTTGCTGGGGGTCAGATCCCCACAATTATAAAGATAAATAATTTGTGATTCATTTCATAAGCATATTAATGAAAGAGTTTTAGCAGTCAGCTCCAGACTAAGAAACACGTGTGTGGATAGTATTTACATTTACCAGGTGGGGCAAGTTCTCCCTGGGACTTGAAAGCCCCCAGTGGACAGGATCCCCCACTCCCTCCCTACCTGAGCGCTTCTTCCTCCACGTCACAGCTGCAGCCACCACAGCCCCAGTGAGCACAGCTCCAAGGAGAACCAGGCCAGAACTGAGACCCCCGATGTGGCTGGAGGGCTGAGGAGGGGGCTCTGGAAGGGAAGGAGAGGGGAGACCCTGAGCCCCAGGCCTCATCCTGACCCTCTGAAAGTCTCCAGAAGGGACCCTGATTCCCCTGTGCCCATATCTCCCTCCTTACCCCATCTCAGGACTTGGGGCTCCAGGAGCCCCTCATGCTGCACATGGCACGTGTATCTCTGCTCCTCTCCAGAAGGCACCACCACAGCTGCCCACTTCTGGAAGGTTCCATCGCCCCCAGGCCTGGTGTCCACCAGCTCCATGTTCTGAGTCAGGCCTTCCCCATCTCGCTGCCAGCTCAGGGTGATCGCCGCAGGGTAGAAGCCCAGGGCCCAGCACCTCAGGGTGACCTCATGGTTGGACGTGGGGCTGTGGGTCACATATGTCTTTGGGGGATCTGGAAGGGTAAATTCAGAAAATTTCTCTCTTTGGGTTTGCTCAGTAGACACTGAAGCAGCCTCCTGTGACCATCCTCAGAATAGACAAGACATTGGTTCAGAGGAGGAAGCACAAAACCCAGAGCCCAGCCCTGTCTGGGGAATCTGGAATCATCAGTGAGAGCCCAGGGTGGGAGGGTGCAGGTCTCTAAGGAGGACGCAGATTCTGCTCCTCTCCTGGGCGGGGGTGAGCGACACAGAAAGGCAGAGTCAGGTCCAGAGCTGTTCTCAGGTCAAAAACAAGGCCTTGAGAGAACAACTCCTGGTTCCCAGGATGGCTGCTGCTGTCTCAAAAGGATGCAGGAAGGGTTGGTTCAGGGGTGTCTCCCCTCCATCCGTGAGATTGGATCCCTTTACTGTCCTTCAGATATATCAGGTGGGGTCCTCTGGCTGAGTCTCGAATACAGAACATGAGACCAGAGGACTCCTCCCTCTCCCAACAGGAGAGGACCTGTTCTGCCCATTACCCCACTTTCCTTCTGGGCTTCAGCCCGAGGAGAGATGGGGGATCTCTGGCACCTCTTACCTGGGCGCTGCAGAGTCTCCTTCCCCATGTCCAGGAGTCTGAGCAGCCAGTCCACGCACCTGCCCTCCAGGAGGTACTTCACGCGCTCCGCCCTCCCCGACGCCTCCCAATGGCGCTGGGTGATCTGAGCCGCGGCATCCGCAGCGGTCCAGGAGCGCAGGTCCGGGTTCAGCGAGATGTAATCGGCGCCGTCGTAGGCGAACAGATCATACCCGCGGAGGAGTCGCCTCTCGGGCCCCACGTCGCAGCCCAAAGTCCTCTGGATGGTGTGAGACCCTGAGCCCCAGCCCCTGCTGTCAGTCCCCTGGTCACCCCACCTGCCCCGGACCTCCCACCCTGAGTCCTCCTTAAGGGGAAATCTCCAGGGTGAAAG